GTACGTGCGCTTATACGTTTTTACATCTTTTACATCTATTACCATACGATTTTTCGACTGTGCGAAGATACGCACAAAGAGTAACGAATCAGTCGAAAAATCGTATGGTCACTAGATGTAAAAGATGTAAAACCGTATGAGCGCACGTACCAGTCGGTTTTGCGTATAGCGTCGGCTGATATTTTCTTACTGTGTAACAATGTTGGTAAACTTTTCACTAAACTGAAAGACAAATGCTCAACCATGGACAAGGTGGAAGTTGTTTAACTTGTTAAATGTAAAGATTGTAACAAGTGTTATATTGGTACAACAGGTCAATTTGTTCGAGAAAGAATGAGACAACATGAGTTGGATTGCAAACATAAACGTTCATCTAGAATTTTTTCAATCATCTACCTTAAGTATACCACAAGTCAAAAAAAGTGTACCTCGAAGTTGAAAAAAATATTCATGGGTCAATATTTCTGTATATTCAACAAGAAGCCGAGTGTGATGCACAAGATATGGATGAACAAGAAGCAAGTGGATGAACAAGAAGCCGAGTGTGATGCAACAGAATATGCAGTGCCACATGGTTGGCTTCAACACACCAGCGACAAACAAAACGAATGGTAAGTTTTTTTTCACATTAATACTTAACACTGAAATGAAGATGGTTTTTATTTTCAATTTTTTTCTTTCTTTGCTCAAGGTACAAGTACGTTTACGAAATGATAAGACTGCAATTGTGGATTGACGATCGCAATATTCTGCCGCAAAATGAAGATAACCAATGGAAAACTTTCAATGCAATTCCACAAAATGGCAATGATCTACATCACATTCGCTTCGACACCGAAGGCTGGATTGATGTTACTAATTTACTGTTGTCAAACTCATTTAAAACACAGAGAAATGCAAAAGGTGCTTGGGATACTGACGACATGAATAACTTTTGGAAACGCTTTGTCGATATCGAAAAATTGAACAAACCGAGCCAAAAATTCGGCTTCTCGTTCACCACGAATGGTATAAGCGCTCATTTGGTTAGACCCAAGCGATGTGCTACCGTTGATGAGCAGCAACAAGATCAGCAGCCAAGCACAAGCACCAGCAACAACAATAACAGTAACAGTCGTCCACCGGTAATTATACCGCCCGATGTCCAAGCAGCATACGAAACGGAAAAGCGTATTACAAAAATTTATGGTGATGATCCTGGCATGAAAGTTATGGTTGCCTCCACATGTCTGGACTTGGAGACAGGCATTGAAACATCGTATCGTTTAAAAACGAAGCAATGGCATCATCGGTCGGGCACTTTTAGAAGACGAACAAAACTCTTTCGCTACACCGGCGACTTTGAGAAAAGGTGTAAACAAATCCGCGAAAACCACGATGAGTACCCGCAGCAACCATCGCCCAAAAGTCGAAATTTCGATAAATATCTCGACTATCAAATTCGAGTGTTCAACGAATCGTGTGAAGTGAGTTGTTTTTGTTATTTTTTTTGTACAAAAAGTTTCCTTCAATGTTTATTGGCTACATGTATTACTGTTTATCGTTTTTTCGATATTTAGGTGAAATATCAAGATCCTGTTACACGATTGAAATTCGACAAGTACGTTGAACGAGAGAAAATGTTTCATGTTATAGCGAAGGAAATGACCGGTCTGGCAAAGAAAATCGAAAACCGTGCGGATCGAACAATCATTTATGCGGTAGGCGATGCAAGATTTGCCGCTGGTTCGCCCATAAAAGGACATCTACGCATGCCAATAAGAGGCATTATCGCTATACTGAACAAATACTATGTACTGTTAGTGGATGTGGATGAGTTTCGCACTTCAATGCTTTGCAGCCGTTGTCATTGTATGCTTCAAAAGCCAAAATACCATAAACCAGAGAGCAGAAACATTAAAGACCGGTAAGTGTTTGTTGAAAATAAAAGAATAATTTGTTTCACAATAAATTTTACAATGCAATATTGATGGGTTTTTACTTTTGTTGTTTTGTTTTCAGTTTTCTAGTTTGCCCCAACTGTAAACCGGCAAATAATGTTCTGCCCGTTCCGGTTACATGGGTTGGTCGAATTCATAATTCGAAGAAGCACCTGCCAAATGATGGAATGCATTTTGAATTCACTGCCGACAAACAACAGCAACGCATGAATCGCACAAAAGGAAAATATCTCACCATTATTTGGGATCGAGATAATAATGCGTCACGAAACATGATCTACAAGACGTTGTGTGCATTGACCAGAACACCCATGCATCATCATTTTAGCCGTGATACAAGCAGACCAACGGTCTTGGCTTGTACCACCAACCACAAATAAACCACAACAATAATTTCTACCTAGGGCGTCTTGTTTTATGATAAATAAGTAGTGATTCTAGGATTAAAGTACACTTTAATCCTTTAATCCACTTTGTTTTATGATAAATAAGTAGTGATCCTAGGATAAAAGTACACTTCGGTGTATTTGAATTTGCTTTTGAAATAAATCACAGCTTGTCCATATAGAATCGCAAATAACGCCTTAGTCAGTTTCAATTAGTGATAATATTTTTTTCTTTAATCAATTTATTGTTATATTATCTGGTTATTTAGGATTTGATATTCGTTAGAAATTGAATATAGCTAACCAAAATCATCACAATTTGATTCGTTCATAATTCAGTAAATACCAAATGTAACGTGGTTGGTTCAGACCTTGAATAAAGTGTGGTTATAACAAGAAAAGGAAAAAAGCATGAATATTTAGTTTTGTTTATTGAATGCTTTATTAATAATAATTACATTTCTGTTAAGAGTTTTCCAAATCGATTTTGTTCTACTTTTTGAATGCCATATCGCCAGTTTCCAAACTCAACTGCAATTGGATAAAGAGAAATGATGAATAGAAACATCTAAATCTGCTTCTACATCATAGGCTAATTAATTTTATGAATTATTTACTTACAACGCTTGTTGGTGAATTATAATTGAAGCAAACCGGGCAGATGCGCAATTGTTCAGATGCAATATTGAATGAATCATATGTCTTCTTACAATATATGCATATATAAAAAGCATGCCAACGTTCACGCATTATTATCTACGTATTTCTGAATTCAATTGAAAAAAATGTAGAAGACTTTTTATTGATTTGACAATATTCAACTGTAAATTATTTGTCGACGCTTCACCGTTCGAATACAATATGAAAATAAAGTATTTCCCAATATAAAAGTACTTTTTTTAAATGAATTTGCGTTTGATAAAATACAGAACGCACTCAGTAATATTCCACGAATAAATTCGAATTGAGTTATTTAAATAAAATTGTGATAAATAAAGCTTAAGTAAACTGAAAACTATACGATTTTATTGAATGTAAATATTTGTGCAAGTATTTAGACTAAAAAATGTGTTGACCACTTGAAATTCGAATGACCAATTATCTGTTTTCTTTTTTTAATAACAAAAGACATCAACCTATGCCTACCATACAGCAACTGAAAAAAACAATTCGAAAAAGACGACCTTGTTCATAGATAAATGAAACAAAAACAGGCACATTCAATGCTTTAAATCCTGGACAAAATGTATGATTATACTATAAGGAATGATACTGCTTCAACATTTCTCCTTTTTACATCTTTCTTTCATAATGCAAAATGTTGAAAAGTGTATGGGAAAGTGGAGTGAAGTGATAAGGGTTTTTGTGCACATCCCTAAAATTCACAATTTTTATTATTTCGATCAGTTGAATGTTCTAATCGATAGAGAATGGCCATAGCTAACACACTATAGTCGCGAAATTTAAAAAAAAATAAATTAAAAAAAATTATGGCAATTTTTGCAAACCATTGATTTTTGAGTCTCGAAAAAGTGGTGGGGCGAAGTGATAAATAATAAATTTTCCAACAAATGAAATATAAGGAGCAGTGAAATTGAAATGAAATGTTTATTTAATGAATAATAAATCAACAGACAATCAAAAAAAATCATTCATCGTCGAAATATCAGTGTCACAGTGGACTTAAGTGTCAAGTAAAGAAACTACTTTGAATATTGGCACATTTCAAATGAACCTCGTATCTGCATATGTTGCATTTGATCGAATTGTTTGCGGTTTGCTTCGTTGACATGGTTCCTAACGTAATTATCCTTTGGAGCCGTTATAACCCTTCAAGGAGGGGGCATTACACTAGAGTGGTTCAATTTTAACATTTTTTCAAGAATCAAAAAACTACCCCTATAACCTCTTTAGGAAGGTCATAGAAACATGACTATATCAACGAATTCGAAAAAAATGATTTTTGGTTAATCGAAATCAATCTATCAACTAACCATGCATCAGCACCATTGATTTATTTCCTACCCAAACATCACAAGACTAATATGCTGTTTCGACCGATTACAGCAGATTCAAATGGCTCAACAAGGAGATTATCTGAATATGCCACCAGCATACTAAACAAATTGGAAAAATCAGCATATCACTTGAAGAATTCGTATGAATTTTGTAATTTCATTAATAACTAGAAGTTTGATGAAGATGAGGTCATGGTAACGTTTGATGTAGTGTCTTTTTTTACAAATGCACCAGTTAATAAGATCATTGATGTTTTGGAATTGCGTTGGGATGAGATATCTAATCACACTACTTTGGATAAGTCAGAATTTATGTACAGGTAATTGCTACTTTGCATTTAATGGAAAGTTCTACAAACAATGTTATGGAACACCAATGGGAGCTCCAATTTAACCAATTTTGGTTGAATTATTGCTAGACTACATCTTGGATAAGATACAATTGATAATGGAACAACACTCAGCGAGATTGCGCATAATAAAAAAGTGTGTTGATGACATGTTTTTGATTGTTAAGAATGACCATATTGACGAAATATTGCTCCTTTTCAATTGTGTTGAAGACAGAATCCAATTTACTGTCGAATGTGAAGAGTCTAATTGTCTTCCATTTCTTGACATGACCGTATTTCGTGATTTGGACACTGGAACTTTTTATACTGAATGGTATAGAAAACCAGTTGCTTCGGGACTATTGCTTAACTACAAATCAATTCACCCCATGAATCAGAAGATTAGTGTCGTTACTGGGCTCATTGATCGTGATAATCGCCTTAGTCATACACGGTTCAAATATGAAAATGATGAACTAGTAACGAAGATGTTGACGGGAAACGATTACCCACTGAGATTGGTACGGAGATTGATCAATAGATATCACATATCTTTTAAGAATGTGTGTGATAATATTCGAATATCTTTTAAAAACACTACACAGTAAGAAAATATCAGCCGACGCTATACGCAAAACCGACTGGTACGTGCGCTTATACGTTTTTACATCTTTTACATCTATTACCATACGATTTTTCGACTGTGCGAAGATACGCACAAAGAGTAACGAATCAGTCGAAAAATCGTATGGTCACTAGATGTAAAAGATGTAAAACCGTATGAGCGCACGTACCAGTCGGTTTTGCGTATAGCGTCGGCTGATATTTTCTTACTGTGTAACAATGTTGGTAAACTTTTCACTAAACTGAAAGACAAATGCTCAACCATGGACAAGGTGGAAGTTGTTTAACTTGTTAAATGTAAAGATTGTAACAAGTGTTATATTGGTACAACAGGTCAATTTGTTCGAGAAAGAATGAGACAACATGAGTTGGATTGCAAACATAAACGTTCATCTAGAATTTTTTCAATCATCTACCTTAAGTATACCACAAGTCAAAAAAAGTGTACCTCGAAGTTGAAAAAAATATTCATGGGTCAATATTTCTGTATATTCAACAAGAAGCCGAGTGTGATGCACAAGATATGGATGAACAAGAAGCAAGTGGATGAACAAGAAGCCGAGTGTGATGCAACAGAATATGCAGTGCCACATGGTTGGCTTCAACACACCAGCGACAAACAAAACGAATGGTAAGTTTTTTTTCACATTAATACTTAACACTGAAATGAAGATGGTTTTTATTTTCAATTTTTTTCTTTCTTTGCTCAAGGTACAAGTACGTTTACGAAATGATAAGACTGCAATTGTGGATTGACGATCGCAATATTCTGCCGCAAAATGAAGATAACCAATGGAAAACTTTCAATGCAATTCCACAAAATGGCAATGATCTACATCACATTCGCTTCGACACCGAAGGCTGGATTGATGTTACTAATTTACTGTTGTCAAACTCATTTAAAACACAGAGAAATGCAAAAGGTGCTTGGGATACTGACGACATGAATAACTTTTGGAAACGCTTTGTCGATATCGAAAAATTGAACAAACCGAGCCAAAAATTCGGCTTCTCGTTCACCACGAATGGTATAAGCGCTCATTTGGTTAGACCCAAGCGATGTGCTACCGTTGATGAGCAGCAACAAGATCAGCAGCCAAGCACAAGCACCAGCAACAACAATAACAGTAACAGTCGTCCACCGGTAATTATACCGCCCGATGTCCAAGCAGCATACGAAACGGAAAAGCGTATTACAAAAATTTATGGTGATGATCCTGGCATGAAAGTTATGGTTGCCTCCACATGTCTGGACTTGGAGACAGGCATTGAAACATCGTATCGTTTAAAAACGAAGCAATGGCATCATCGGTCGGGCACTTTTAGAAGACGAACAAAACTCTTTCGCTACACCGGCGACTTTGAGAAAAGGTGTAAACAAATCCGCGAAAACCACGATGAGTACCCGCAGCAACCATCGCCCAAAAGTCGAAATTTCGATAAATATCTCGACTATCAAATTCGAGTGTTCAACGAATCGTGTGAAGTGAGTTGTTTTTGTTATTTTTTTTGTACAAAAAGTTTCCTTCAATGTTTATTGGCTACATGTATTACTGTTTATCGTTTTTTCGATATTTAGGTGAAATATCAAGATCCTGTTACACGATTGAAATTCGACAAGTACGTTGAACGAGAGAAAATGTTTCATGTTATAGCGAAGGAAATGACCGGTCTGGCAAAGAAAATCGAAAACCGTGCGGATCGAACAATCATTTATGCGGTAGGCGATGCAAGATTTGCCGCTGGTTCGCCCATAAAAGGACATCTACGCATGCCAATAAGAGGCATTATCGCTATACTGAACAAATACTATGTACTGTTAGTGGATGTGGATGAGTTTCGCACTTCAATGCTTTGCAGCCGTTGTCATTGTATGCTTCAAAAGCCAAAATACCATAAACCAGAGAGCAGAAACATTAAAGACCGGTAAGTGTTTGTTGAAAATAAAAGAATAATTTGTTTCACAATAAATTTTACAATGCAATATTGATGGGTTTTTACTTTTGTTGTTTTGTTTTCAGTTTTCTAGTTTGCCCCAACTGTAAACCGGCAAATAATGTTCTGCCCGTTCCGGTTACATGGGTTGGTCGAATTCATAATTCGAAGAAGCACCTGCCAAATGATGGAATGCATTTTGAATTCACTGCCGACAAACAACAGCAACGCATGAATCGCACAAAAGGAAAATATCTCACCATTATTTGGGATCGAGATAATAATGCGTCACGAAACATGATCTACAAGACGTTGTGTGCATTGACCAGAACACCCATGCATCATCATTTTAGCCGTGATACAAGCAGACCAACGGTCTTGGCTTGTACCACCAACCACAAATAAACCACAACAATAATTTCTACCTAGGGCGTCTTGTTTTATGATAAATAAGTAGTGATTCTAGGATTAAAGTACACTTTAATCCTTTAATCCACTTTGTTTTATGATAAATAAGTAGTGATCCTAGGATAAAAGTACACTTCGGTGTATTTGAATTTGCTTTTGAAATAAATCACAGCTTGTCCATATAGAATCGCAAATAACGCCTTAGTCAGTTTCAATTAGTGATAATATTTTTTTCTTTAATCAATTTATTGTTATATTATCTGGTTATTTAGGATTTGATATTCGTTAGAAATTGAATATAGCTAACCAAAATCATCACAATTTGATTCGTTCATAATT